ACTCAATTGAAATTCAGCCTGCAGGGGGTTGGTTTAGCGCAGCACGCCCGCCCTGGTAACCAAACATTGAAAGCTCGCGGTCGGACCTGGCTCTCGCTCGGCGCGCCTGATTGGATTTGGCTGAAGACCTGCTTGGCTTCGTGCATTGTTTCGAGGAAGCTTCCCAGCGGCCCCAGCCACAGCGCATCATTACACCTCTCACCACCACGACCACGACTACGACCGCTCCACGATTCGCTTTCACGTCGCTTGCCTGTCCGCGCCGACCGCCCTCTCTTATCTGTCGCAGTGCGCACAACCCGATAACGAGCGCTCCACATAAAACCGCAAGGCTGAGGCTCACCTGCAGCTGTTGCTGCCGAAACGAAAAGCATGTCTAGATACGGAAAGGTATGTCGACGACGACTGCACGCTGCGAGAAGAAAACTGACCATCTAGTTTGACGACTTCTGCCGCGACACAGGCTCGAACTGGAGCACATTACCTGTCTGCTATGTACGTTGCGTCCTACCACCCCTTTGCCCGTCCACCGCCCGCGAACGCGCCGCTAACCCCATGCTTCACAGCTCTTCAACCCAGCTTCGACAAAAGACGATAACGGATGGCAAGATGGCTGCATTCTACAGGGCTTCCCCGTTGGTGGAGGTGAAAGACTGCACAATCTGGGTACGAGGCACATGCGCGCTTCAACGACATTCCGCTTACACACCCAGGCTCCATATTAATCTGCGGCATCGCAATCCTCGCCTCGCTGTTCCTGCTATGGAGATCGCAAAGAAAGAAGGCCGCTGTTGGGCGCAGAGAAATGCAGCTCTTTCTCCTCGGATACATCGTCATCTCCATCTGCGAGATCTTCACCATTGGCGGATTCCCCCTCAATTCCACTGTGCGCATTGTACGTACGCGATTCTACGTATCCACCTGCAGTATCTAATCTTTATACAGGTCTTTGTCGCTATCCACATCGCCGCAATCACCGCTACATCCTGGATCCTCATGCTCAACGGCGCCGTGGGCTACCAACTACTTGACGACGGCACGGCGGTCTCTATCGGTCTGCTCTTGATCTCGTCGATCGTAATCTTTATCGGTACCGGCTACATTGCCCTCGACACTGGACTCAGCTGGACGGGTTACTGGGACGAGACGCGCTTCCTGCCCAACCAGGCCTACGCGCTATACACCCTCTACCAGCTCGTTCCGTTGGTCTTCATCGTCATCTTCTTCCTCCTGGAAGCTTTCCTGGTGCTGCGTGTTCTCGGCGAGCGCAAGCCAATGCGTAAGGAATCGTCAATATTCTATCCAAAACATCACTAACTCCCTCCCAGTCTATCTCCTCGCAGCAGGCCTTCTATTCGCCATCGGTCAAATCTTCCAATATGTCATCAGCGTTCACATCTGCAACGGCACCGACGGAAAGATCAACGGAGGTCTATTCTCGACCCTCTTCACCCTCCTATCGGTAGTAATGATTTGGGTGTTCTGGTCGAGCATCACCGAAGACGACTGGCCCATGCCAACTGTCGCTGGCTCGGGCGCATATAATTAGGAACGAAGTGGTAATCTCGGGGGTGTACAGGCAACGGCGTAATGTTCTTATGATGGCTTTTGCCCGGCATAGCGTATACCATTTTGGGGCTCTTTGGACGCATTTGATGCGTCATGCTGAACTTGTGCTACGATATACATAATGTTTGCTGAATGGAATTATTTGATGTTCAGAACTCGTCTTTACATGCAAAAAGGTGAGGGATTAGACACGACTGACTGGGTATATTGATAGTCTATCGCTTGTCGCCAGGCATAGTCATCTAAACCTCTATCCCAGAAGGCTTAAGAACTCCTTCATCCAGTCATCTCAGTGTCCCCATTGCTCGCTTCAACCGCTGTAACCCCATCCAGTCTACCCAAGCACCCCGGACAATTATGCAGCACCATGTGCGCAAAAACATCGCAATCGATACAAAAGTGACTCTCACAAGACCGACATTCATACCTCCCACTCTCACTAGCCTTTTGCGCCTCACTGTCTTCCTCATCTCTCTTCGTGCCATTGACCTCGCCGTTTTGCTCAGCCTCCGTCCTCTGTCTATTACTACTCGGTGGACTGCTGAAAGAAACCAGACAGCCCACACATTGCGTGCTACCCTTCTCGCGGGCGCGTGACCAGGAGACCGTGGACCAGTTGCGGAGAGGAAAGAGGTGGTGGTAAGAACGCGCGAGATGGGTGGAGAGGAGGAGAGTAAGCTGGCATGACGGACATGTGATGGGTAGGGAGCAGACTTTTGCGCTGCAGCGAGAACATGTGTAACCGCCCATCGTGAGGTTGCCGTGACATGCGCACATTGTCAGTTCGTCTTCTATGACTCGCGAAGGGAAGCCCATCATCATGAGCGCTGCTGCGGACTCCGGTGCTTGTAGGGCTGCTGCTTCGACGGCGGGTGCTGACGTACGGATTACGGGTGGTGTTGTGGTGGCAAGGAGGAGCTCCTTGAGCATTTCTTGGTCGGTTGCGATGGTGTATTCGGAGTCGTCGCCTGCGTTTGTCCGCGTTACGATTTCTGTGCAGATTTTAAGACGTGCGCCCATGCCGATGACGCTGACGCGAATCTTGTCTCGTACGCAGGCCTTGACCGTCTGGTGTATGTCCCCAGGGTCTAAACTCAACAAACTGCCAAAGACGACGATGACTTCTCGTGTACCATGACTTGGCGTGTGGTATAAGGTCGCTCTTGCCAGCTCCAGCGCATTCTGCAGACTGGGTGCGCCCTTGGGCTCTTTGCCATCGTCTTTACTCCTCAAGCCTTGTATCGCTGCGACGTGTTCTGCCGGGTTGCCTGAGAGCTCCGAGACTCGTATGCAGACGCCGTCGTGCATGCCGAGGACGCTCATCTGCGATATGGGGTTTTGCTCGAAGAATTCGCGGATATAGTCTTGCGTGTAGTTGATCATCGTGATGAAGCGGTTCGGTCGCATGTCCTTCTCCATCATTGCCTCCGAGAGGTCAAGCACCAAGACGACATGGCGGATGATGCCTCGCTGGAAGGGCTTTGTGTCTTTCCGCAGTCGCTTTCGTTTCCTCTCTTCTTCCCGTTCTTGCACGCTCAGTCCCATTGTATCGTCCTCTGCCAGTTGTGTCGTTTTTGCGACCGTCCGCGAGTCCTCTGTCTCCCATGCTTGCCGTTTGGGTGGTTCCTTTGCAGGCACCTCCGCTTTCCGCCTCTTGCCAGGTGCTGTGGATTGCGCGCGTGTGGTGGAAGGACCGCTCCTTGTGCCAATGTACTCGTCATCAGATCCTTCCCCCTCGAAATCATAATCCGAATCGGCCATCGTATGCGCGCAAGCTTGGAGTAGGTCAAAGAACTGTGGTAGGCGATATGTTTGTGTGGGTGTATGGATGTGTGGAGTTCAGGTGGATGATGCGCGTGCATAGGCGGAAGCGTGTCTCACCCGTGATAGGCTAAACGCGCTCTCACGTTTTCTTCGCAAGGAAGCCGCGTATGATTAGCCCGTATCATCTTGCCTTCTGTGTTGCAATCCTGACATTTGGAACATGTTTTCATTTCCGTAACAAATCACGACCAAGTAGAGTGGCATTGGTTCCGTTGTTGAAGTCTTCACATAAGATTTCAAGATCGCACTTCTGGCAACGGATATCTCCACATGGAAATGCCGAAGACGACCCCGCGACCGACGCGAACGTGGGGCAAAGTCCCGAACTCCACAACGGGCCATCTTGCATCAACACACGCTGACTGCTTTATAAGCCTTTCCAGATCCCTGACTCCATGTTGGCACGTTCCTTCATACGCTGCACACGCACCGTTACTACTACCTCCAGACCGGTCTTTGCCTCTAGATCACAGTTACTGTTGCCTCCACTTCCACAAGTAAAGTACTTCAGCACAACAGTAAGAGCGATGTCGGCATTTGAGCGACTGATTCGGTTTGAGAACAAGGAGGGAAAGACGGTATATGGGAATTTAGAGAAGGAGGTGCCCACCAGGGAGATTGAAGGAAGCAGCGTAGAAGTGTTGTCTGGGGACATCAAGAGTGGATTCAAGAAGACGGGGGAGAAAGCGACTGTGGGAAAGGTATGCAATCAATATACAGAAGATATTGAAGCACTAGGGGGGGAACTAACATCTAATAGCTCCTCAGCCCCGTCCCGACAACAAACATAATCCTCTGCGTGGGCCTCAACTACCGGCGCCATGCCGAAGAGTGCAACCTCGCTATCCCCTCCAACCCAGCCATCTTCACCAAACCCAGCGATGCCCTCGCAGGTCCTTTAGAAACCATTCCCATTCACCCGGACTGCCAATCGCAACTCGACTACGAAGGCGAACTCACCCTGGTCATTTCAAAGGATTGCAAGAACATTGCTGCTAAAGACTACGCCAACTACCTCCTTGGATACACCATCTCCAACGACGTCTCCGCCCGGAACTACCAACTCCCTGCTGGGGTATCGGGCGGCCAATTCGGCTACGCGAAGTCATTTGACAAGTTCGCTCCCGTAGGCCCATGTATCGTGTCCCCCAGCTTGATCCCTGATCCTCATAAGCTAAGGTACTGGACCAAGGTCAATGGCGAGAAGAGGCAGGAAACCGGGACGGATGATATGATTTTCAGTGTAGGCCATATTCTGGAGCATCTGAGTCGCGGGACTACGCTAAGAGCTGGTACGGTGATTCTAACAGGTACACCGAGTGGTGTTGGTCTGTTCATGGATCCGAAAGGTTTCTTGAAAGACGGGGACGAGGTTGAGGTGTATGTTGAAGGAATTGGAAGTATCGTCAATAAGATGAAGTTTGAGTAAGTGGAGAAGACAGGGTAAACGACTGTTCAATACAGGGGCTCATGGGCATAAATTCAAGAATATTACAGACCTCTAGTTTGATTAAAGCATGCGTAGGCATAGTGTCAATACTCGTCTGCCTGTTCCTTAACGATCGCGATTAAGGTCCAACAGACAAACATACCCTGCGACCGCGAATTTACTCAGCCTCATCTGAAGCTCCCCATGCCTTCCACCTCCATCTAGACTGGTCAGGCAGCTCCAATTCATACCATGCAGGCGTACCAGGAACGTGTTCCACCAACTGCCACCCCAGTATCTCTGCCACGCGCAGCAACCATATCTCGCGAATTAATCCATACCGCGGCCTACCATCTGCTGGCTGCACAAGCTCAGCAGGTGCTGTCTCTACCTGTTCCTTGATCATCTCCTTGGCGAGTTCCCGTAGGCGATTCAGATGATAAGGTCCTATGTGGAAGACACTGAAAGTGTCGTGCACAGCATACCAACCAACCTTGTGAATTTGGGCATCGATTTCTGCATCGTAGATAACAGCTTTGTGAATTAGCTTACTCATAGCGTTCCACATAAAGTGTACGATAGCTTGCGACCATAATGTGTCTATGAACATGTCGAGCGTAAAATGATGTGGCACGTCTGGGCGCGGTCCTGGGTGGAAGACTGGCAGGGATGATTCCAAGAACAGGGTGCGTCGACATTTAGGGCACGTATTTGAATGCGAAACGTTTGTGTCGATCCACTTTTTGAGACAGGTAAGACCGAAGATGTGCTGACATTGCGTGCGTGTGGCTTTGTGCTCTTCATTGAATGCTTCATGACAGATATCGCAGGCTTCTATGATGTCGAGATCCCTGAAGAACTTTACTTTTGTCGGAAGTGGAGATCGTGGTGGGGTTGAGGTCATGATTTGGTGGTTCACTGGGGTGTGGGCGAGGCCCGGGTTGAAGTTGAGGCGGACTAGCTGGTGGCAGATGTTCTTAGCTAGCAACTGGTTGCTGTTTTACCTAGTAAAAGATAGTAACGTGATGTGTCCTGTAAGTTTCTATTATATCCCTCCACGGATCAGCAGCAGCAGCAGCACATGATTGTGGCGTACTTTAGTTGCTAGGATGGGATTTTATTGAGAACCACGAGTGTACTGAACACGGAACAGCTTCACTGCTCATCTATAATTGATAATGGCCCAGGACTGATGTTTGAGTGCAACTGAGAGCTTCCAATGAGCCGCGTACTGCTCAACCTCACAAGTACTATTATACAGAGCTGACGGCTGTCATCATAAGCATGCTCCCTTACTATGATCTACAGAAGAATTCGCATGTCTCCCGCGGATTTCGGAAGTGATTCAGCTATCTGATAGTAAGCTTCGGGATTTAAGGACCCGTGGACCATGTCAGCCACCTAAACTTTGTTCGTACGAAGTTGCGATGTCGGCTAGGCTATAGCAAGCAGTGGCCTCTATAATGTGTCCATGGAAGTTAAAATGAAGAAAGATGACAATGATGTAGCTTGAGAACTGCAAGTAGCGGCACTCAAGCTCGGCGCTGTCAACTTCACCTAGACGATATTTGCGTGGTACTGACAGGTGAGGGGTGCGTCATGGCCACGAGACGCTAGTGCCCACGCTAATTTCGAAGTTACGTTGAGGGCAGGCGACCATGTACCCGAACCATCAACTTTGAAACAGCACAACAAAAGAACGCAAATACATCTCCCATTTCAGAGACGCGACTTACGTGTAGAATTCATCTGAATTATCAACGCAACCAAAACAAATCACAACAATGGCCTCGGAAGTAGTCAACAAGCTGCAGAACCTGGTCACAGGAGAGTCGAAGAGCGCCCGCAAGAAGAAGGGCAAGCAAGAGGGAGCTACCGCAGTGCCCGCTGCGCCTGAGAAGACGTCATCCGAGGCTGGCGCAGGTGGATCTAACCCTGCCGGCAAGGCCAATGGAACCGACAGCGACAACTCGTACCTTCGCGAGGTTCAGAAGTAAGTTGCAACAGCATTGTGGTTCAGGGACCGCATGCACGATTAGCAGGACTCACTTACTAAGACGCGTCTGTGCAGGAACATCCGCAACATCAACAAGAAACTGGTAAGCTAACAGTCTCCCTTACCCCTCGAACCCTTGCTTACATGACATCCCCAGAGCGCAACTCAAAAGGTCGACTCCATAATCGCAGCGAATCCCGGCGTTTCTCTCGACGACCTCCTCGCCTCAAAGAAGATCAATGCCGACCAGAAAGCTCAAGCTGAGAGGAAACCCGGTCTTCAGGCTCAGCTTGCGCAGTACGAGGAGCAATACACCAACTACAAGAAGTACGGCGATGAGCTCGAGGCCAAGTTCGCAAAGGAGAAGGAGGTCCTGTCCAAGTCACACTCGTCGGAGCTTGAGACATTGAGGGGAACGATCAAGGCCGAGGCAGCGCTGGAGCAGCAGAAGATTGTCAAGGAGAAGTTGTTGACACTGTCTCGCTTCCTGAGGGCCGCGGCTGCTCGTCGTCAACTTGAGGATGATGACTCTGATCTTACCAAGGCTTTCGAGGGCGCTCTGCTCCAGGTCTATGGAGGAGACGCCGGCGCTGTCATGGCTGCAGAGAAGCTGATCGAGGGTGCGGAAGAGGGAGTACCATCCACCGAGGGAGTGGTACTCAGCGTCACCTGTAAGCTCGAAAGTATGTCAAGCGCGCCGTCTTAGACTGACTTTGTATAGATTCCCAGGTCAAGCAAGCAGCACTCGACGAAGCCCCATTCGCCGCCGAAGAAGCTTGGGTTGACGACGTCGCGCAGTCTCAAGCAGCTCCTCCCGAGGCACAGGCTGGCTCCGACCCAACCATCACCAACGCTGGTCTTACTGAGATCGACGCTGGCGCGAAGCCCGTTACCGAAACTACCGAGACCGCATCAGCTGCCCCGGCGGCTTCTGGCATTGGAATGGAGTCAGCAAACGCTGCTGCAGAGGCACAATGGGACAAGCAACCGACCGGCGCTGATGACCCATTGACTGAGTCCTTCGAGATGGTACCGCGAGACCCCGCCGAGACCGAGACACCACACGTCGCTGCTGCCGTAACCAGCACCCAGAGCTGGGCCGACGATACCCCCGAGCCGAGCGCGGCGCCTGCCGCTCCTACGTCCGGTAACGATGGCTTCTCCGAGGTTCACCACAACCGTGGCGGCCGGGGACGTGGTGGTCACCCAGGTGGTGAGCGAGGCGGATACCGTGGCAGGGGCCGAGGCGGCCCTAGGGGAGAGTTCCGCGGTCGTGGACGTGGCGGCCGTGGAGAGTTCAGGGGTGGGCGTGGCGGTTTCCGCGGCGCTCCTCGTGGAGAATCCTCGTAAAGTCGATGAACCATTCCTGCAAAACGACTCGCACATTTGGGGAAGACTGGTTGCATGAGCAGCTTTGATACCCTGTTTGGAGCATCTGAGCAGATGAAATAACGAAAGAGCTGGGAAGAAAAACGTACAGCCCATTGTGTTTAGTAGCATAGCATCGGTGCATAGGATCAACATTTTCTCGGGTATGGGACGGCTGTACTATATTCTGGGTTATGATCTGGCGCTTAACGAATGGCCTGTACAATACGATTTCTTGCTTCAAGTAATTGCCATTGTTGTTTGTCGGTCCTGTGATTTCAAGTTTGTACCCATGTAGCTGAAGGTTGTTTGTTAGATCTGAACTAGGGTAGGGTACTTGATGACGATAACTGAGCGCGCACCCCTGGTAGTAGCGGCCGTCGATCCGGAGATTTTCCATGGGGGGCGCACTGGCTCGTCATGTTCTCCGATTGGCGAGTGTTGGGTAGTACGAAGTGCCGGTGTGGAGTTGCAGCGCTCGCACGATATGATGCACATCCCGTACAAAAGATCAAACATCATCTTATAGCTCTCACCGTCAGGTGGTAGCATTGGAGGATGGTTTCCTCCCAGCATCTAGCTTGTTGCTTTCCTTCCAAAGCATACACACAGAGGTCTTCGGGACCGGATAGCTGCGCCTATCAGCTCCTCCATGCAGACAAGAGCCGATCGCATAGTAAACTCAGCATAGTTTCGAGTAGATTGAATGCCAAAAGCGTTGTGAAGGCATCCGGACTTTACTGTCGCAGTGAGCTGCCAACAACCTGCACGGCATAGTAAAGTCAAACAACAGTGACAAATTGCACGGCAACTGTGCAGTATATAGGCCCAGAAACAGGATGAGTACACAAGATATCTCTTCTCTAACTACGTCAACCGTACTGGCTTATCGTGTTGTTGGTGAGGCGCGGCCCTATTCTTGCACATGGCGGCGTGATGCACGAACTAGCGGGTCACTGCAGCCGTTGAGACAGGCGCCAGTCAGAAAAGCTTAACCCCACAGATTCAGGAACCACGTTTCACGTCCGATCTAGTTGTAAATTCATCGTGTGTTTTCTGTTATAGACTGGCCGTCGAAGACGAGCACAGTCTGCCTTCCGGAAGATACGAAAATCGAAAGTAGCCAACAGCATGCCCAAGTGAGTTCGGTGAATGCATCTGGCATTGCTGTGGTGAGTTGGCTACCACATGGTGAACAGATGGAAACTATGGGGATCTGATAAGATGAGATCTGTAGATGTGGCCTTGGATGACGTGCATGCCAGTCACCGCGCACAACACTTGGCGCGCTTTGCGCAGAGCAGTAGAATGACGAGAACTTACAGCACACGCGATCCCTTTATGTGGATCAGGCTTTGTGTACCGCTTGAGGGGTCAGAATATATGCAGCTCTTCTGACGCTTTACCGGTGCTGTTGTCGCAAACTGCCCATCGTCAGGCGATAAGTGGCAGGGGTTGTTGCGCTTAACGCCTAGCGCAGACCCACGACCTGCAACCTCCTCATTCTCGCCTTCGCACCTCCCTCAGCATCATCCAGCGACTACGCGCCCCAGCACTTGCGATAACGCTTATCAACGACCCTGCAAGCTTCGCACACCCTCTGCGCTTGCTGCAAAATTGTTGCGGTACTAATACATCGACGCGCGCCCGCCCCGGCGGAGAAGCGACGCATGGCAGCAGCTCCACAGCCCCTCTGAGACATCCACGACTCGACAACTGCGACCTTCACCATGGAAGCGCCCTCAGATGTTGTGCCTTCCGTAGAGGCACCGCCCGCGACGCACGATGACTCCACCACGAAGCCAGCTCTGACGCCGCCCACGAGCGAAGACAACGACAAGCGATTCGAGAGGATGTCGTCCGAACTCTCCGAGCTGGACAGCGACGACGGCGAAGACATCGAACCAGATCATTACTTCGAGGGAGGAAAGATACCCGTGTTCAAGCCAGTAGGTTGCCTATATGCAGATAACCTCCTACCCAGGCCGAGGAGCACGCGCGCGCATGTTATGACTATGACGCGTGGAAATAAACTACACAAGATACTAACTACCATCTGTACAGACAATGGACCAGTTTCGCAATTTCAAGCGCTTCATCGACAAGATCGACAAGCATGGAATGAAGTCAGGTATCGTCAAGGTTATTCCACCAGCGGAATGGTAAGTCTCGATTATGCGCCTGTTGTATGA